TAAATTGTCTCTGTGCTTGTATATGTGAATGGCCTCATGAATGAATCTCTCATGGTAGGCGGTTGGTTTGCAAAGAACCTCCGTCTTGGAGAAGTCAATGTCATGTGAGCCCACTGAATTATAACAGTGATCTGCCACGGCAGAGGAGTTCGTCCTACCGTGTTTCAAGTCTGCTTTATGTTCGCGGATGCGGTCCGAGATATGTAGTTTGGTTTCTCCAATGTAGCTACTACCACAGAGGCACTTTAGTTTGTAAACACCCGGGTACTGTATGTCTGGAACAGCATCTTTTACAGATGCAACTAGATCACGGATTTTATGTACTGTGTTGAATCGGACCTGGATCTTGTGTTTATTCAGGATTTTGGAGATCTTTTTAGTGACCCCTGCAATGTAGGGTAAGGTGATGGTTTTGATTGGCTCCACAAGAGGATCCTTCTTCATGACTGGAGTGATGGCTTTGCGGATTGTGTAGTCAGAGTAACCATTAGCCCTGAGAGCCTGGTGTACGTGCTTGAGTTCACTGGTAATGTGTTCCTGGTCGGAAATGCATTGGGCTCTATGGTATAGAGTCTTGATGAGGGTGTTCTTCTGGGATGGATGGTGGTGGGAATCCGGTTTCAAGTAAGCATCTGTATGGGTAGCTTTCCTGTAGACAGAGTGGCTCATTGAACCATCATGTCTCCTTTTAATTAAGACATCCAAAAAGGGTAGTTTGCCATCTTTATACCATAGAGCCCAATGCATTTCCGACCAGGAACACATTACCAGTAAACTCAAGCACGTACACCAGGCTCTCAGGGCTAATGGTTACTCCGACTACACAATCTGCAAAGCCATCACTCCAGTCATGAAGAAGGATCCTCTTGTGGAGTCATTCAAAACCATCACCTTACCCTACATTGCAGGGGTCACTAAAAAGATCTCCAAAATCCTGAATAAACACAAGATCCAGGTCCGATTCAACACAGTACATAAAATCCGTGATCTAGTTCAATCTGTAAAAGATGCTGTTCCAGACATACAGTACCCGGGCGTTTACAAACTAAAGTGCCTCTGTGGTAGTAGCTACATTGGAGAAACCAAACTACATATCTCGGACCGCATCCGCGAACATAAAGCAGACTTGAAACACGGTAGGACGAACTCCTCTGCCGTGGCAGATCACTGTTATAATTCAGTGGGCTCACATGACATTAACTTCTCCAAGACGGAGGTTCTTTGCAAACCAACCGGCTACCATGAGAGATTCGTTCATGAGGCCATTCACATATACAAGCACAGAGACAATTTCAAGATGGATTCTGGCTTAGTAACCATTGGAAATATGTTTTAAACCATCTCCGTTCTTAATTAATTGTATTTTACGATGACCTTCAGACCGCAGCTCTTTCGCTGGCATTGACTCTTAATACCTCTCACACCACGGTTAATGGTATGGTTTACAACATGGAGTATAACAGCGCCTCGCAGCTGTCTCTCTCCCCCTCCTCTGTTCCGACCATGGATGAACTCGTCCGTCTGAACGAGACCCGTAGCTATCCGTGTTGCTAAAGTTGAGGGTAAGAATCCACCCATTTTTCGCCATATAGCATTGTGATATATAACGACTTATTGTTGGTAGCTTAGCTGATTGGAGAATATAGAGTTTATTGATAACATTGAGGTAATTTATATTTTAGTATTTTTATTGGTTCACTATATAGCATTCATTATATATTGTATTGTATACCCAGTTACTGTGAATTGCTCAGATGTGTAGGCCTTAACTTCAACAAAGCCATTTCTGTGACCAGTCACAAGCTAATCACTCAGTTATTTCAATGCTAAATTCGCCTAGTTATTTCAATGCTAAATTCTCCTGATTGATTTGTACTAGTTGCCTCGGTGAATGTATATGCTCTGACTTTAACATAGCTATTTCTGTGACTATTTATAAGCTAATCACTCAGCTATTTCAATGCTAAATTCTATGCTAATTCCTTTGTCAAGGAGTGCCTCTGCGGATGTGTATACTTTAACTTAGCTATTTCAATGCTAAATTCTATGCTAATTCCTTTGTCAAGGGGTGCCTTTGCGGATGTGTATGCTTTAACTTTAACATAGCCTTTTCTGTGACCAGTCACAAGCTAATCACTCAGCCATTTCAATGCTAAATTATATGCTAATTCCTTTGTCAAGGCGCTTTGTTTCTTCTCACACAGCTTAAAGGTCGTGATCTCAGCGTAGCTTTCTCACTCCAGCGCTGTCCTCCAGACAGTCTCGTCCCCTTCACCTGATGAAGGCCGCTTGTGTTGTGGCCGAAACGTCGTGAGAATATTATTGTGTTATTTTATTTTATCAATTTATTATTTTATTCTCATTCTACGTGACTTTACCGAAAGAACCAAAGAAGACAGTTCAACTAATCTTGAAAGTGTTGATGTTCAAGCTCTGTCCGTCTGCCTGTTTGTAATAGGGGTCCACGATAGCTCTTGTTATGATGATCCAGTATAAATACTTTAAAATATATATAAATTGGCATTGCTTTTATGGGCTTACTCTTTCGAAAACTGGCCAAAATTATAAATACGGTTGCTCAAATCTTGGCGACAAAAGCTAGCTGAGGCGGTAACAAACATAATGTATGACATCAATGGATGATGTCACACATTATGCGCTGTTGTGCGGCTTGGGATGTAACATTATTATTCCTAATTAAGTACTTCCGAGGCCAAACACATGTTAGATAGATTTACAAAATCCATGCATATGCACGATATTTGTTCTTTATTTAAACATGCACTTACCTGTGTTATTTCCAAAGTTTAAGGACATTTCATACACAGTGATCTTTGATTTGATTTATTTTAATTGATATTACTAGCAAGACCTCTATTTACGTATAAAATTTGGCACTGCGACTAAACGAATTAATTATTTTGTGCTCTAGTGAGCATAGGGTAGCGTTCGCTTCCTCTTGACAACCTTGAGCCAGCAGTGAACATTCCACATTCCGATGACAGAGGTGAGCTAAATCCAGAGGACAACCACCACTGACTTTCAGATTGTTAATGTTGTGGCTTGGCTCTCCAACACACCGGTGTGCTGTACTAGTAGCGAATTGGCATGTTCTGTTTACGTCACAACCCTTACTAGTTGGCTGTGTCGAGTGGTGGCGGGTTTAACGACAGATTTATATATGTTTAAGCGATCTAACCCCAAAAAAAACTCTCTATTATGGATGATATTGGTCGCGAAAGTGATATTTTCAAACATCACCATATAAACAAACACGTGCTTATATGTGGTATTTCTTATTAAAGGCCGAAAGGCAAACTGCAATTCCATGGCTAATCATGCGGAGGGATGGCAGACAGATGCAGAAGGTTATTGACTGTGTTCAGTCAGAATATTGATCATGTATTTGTTGCAGCAATGTAACTCGTATGTAAGTATAATGTCTACAAACTTGTCCTTTCTTAAAGAGCCATATTTTAATCTTTGCCATGTTAAATCTGTTGCTAGAAAACAAGCAGTAAAGAAAGTTATTGAGCCCAGCCATTCCCTTTGGGTCTGTTCCTACTTGAGTGAGATTAATAGCGGAACAAATACAGTGTGTAAATAGTATTTACGTCTCCACCTAAATCGCAATTTCATTATAAAGTTCCCTCCGCAATACAACTGTGTTCAAATACATCTGGAAGTAAGCATTACCATAACGTGGAGGTTGCAAGAATAGTGTGCCACAATGTAACACAAGCACAGAGTTACAGCAACAGGACACGTGCACGTATTTCTATTTCCATACTTGAATGAGCCATATTGTTTCACAGTGGTGTCAAGGGACACATTATGAACTAAACAATTGCGGTAAAACGTTTGACTTTGGAAGCAGCAGGATTCAGCTGCTCTGCCATTGAGGGTTTGATTCTTTCCGCCGCAGGCAGTGCACAGCTTTTAAAGGGTTCAAAGGTAATTTGTCCACTTCAGAAATACACGATTACCGCTGTGCTATGCAGTGCCATGTAATTCCACTGTCGGACGTATCACTCACACTTGCAAATAAGACCACACCACTCTAATCTTCACATCCCTTCCTTATCTGGCTTCCAATCTGATTCCACAACATGACTTCCACCATTTTAACATCCTTCACAGACTTGCACTCCGGTCTTATGTCACTCTATCAACCTCCCCATATCCCTGGTTTTGATCTTCCGTGAAGCTCATAATCCACCCTAAACCGCATCAGCACAAACCGTGGCAGATGCTGCTGACTGATGCACAAATGGAAAATGTAAAACTCTCCGGTGTGCCGACTGACCATCCAGAACAGACTATGCAAGGTATAACGACGCAATGCCCGATCCACAAATATATGAAGGAGACATCAAAGCGATGCACATTCCACTGCTGCTGACGCGGCTGTCTGGCTTGACCACGTGCATGTGCAATTGTAGTCGTTGCTCTGCATCTACATCAGCAGCCGCACGAAAGAGGAAGAGGAACCCTCCCATGCATGCCAAGCCAGCAACCAAAGGCTCCTGTTGGATCCCCTAGTTTGCAAGCTCAATGGGAGGTTCGAGCCTTCTCCTCAGCTGCTGCTCCTGCCTAGAACTCTGTGCGCCTGGTCAAGCCAGGATTTTTCTCCACTGCCTCTGTCCACCCATCAGTATGAATGGGTATGCCACAGTTCGTTGATCTGCAGGGAGTATGTGGTGAGTTAAAGTGTGGGTATTACCACCTCTTCCAAGCCATCAGGTAAAAAATAACCTCGACAGGGGCCCCCTAGAGCACCCTCGAGTGGAGGCCATTCCGCCAACGGAGGCATGAGCAAGTAATCGCAGGGCTGCACTTTTAACCATTTAACTTTTATATGACACATAGAGAGGTTGCTCATGATCTACACACTATACATACAAATTTACATTTTACGGGAAATCTTCACAGCCATCAATGCGGACCACGCGTGCGTGAGCGTGTGTGCGCTTATCCGAGAGTTTACGGTGTTCATTTACCGATGATGACGAATTCTCCAGGGGCGGTGCGAACGTTCGCTCCCCGCCTCGATGCCATCGCTAGCCGCTTCCCAGAATTCCATTCTCTTGGCAGCAGGCTTGGCAGCTCTGTGAAAAGATCGTGACTCGACGATTGGCAACGCTCGTAGGTGGTCCCTTAAAATAATAATAATAATGTACTGGAAGATGTAGTTTCTCTAAAGTATATTGTAATAATAAAAATATTATTCATAGCCAAAATAACAATGTGAAAACAACACGAATGGTTTCGGCCATTTCCCGTCTTCTGATTGTGAAGAATTAACTAACACCCTAATCCTAACAAGTTTGTACATATAGAAATATTTTATTAGTGTCTGCCACAGCTCATGCATATACGTGTATCTCTTATGACGCGTATTTTGGTAAAAACACAAATAGGTGGGGTTAACTTATACAGAAACAAACACACCCATCGTACAATTTCCCAGCTGAAACGGAATTTTAACAGAAAGGCTATACATTCGAGGAATAATTAAATCAGACAAATAGCTGGAGCATTTAAATTACAGCTTCTTAAATCAACATGGAGGCATCAGCATGGATAATCATTTAAACAGCAATGGAAGGAGAGAGGCGAATGCTGATTGTGCATTTATTATAGGAGATTTCTTTAAAAAGAAAGCACTGCTACATCATATTTTGAAATTAATTACTTCAGCACAATTGACCAAAAAAGAACAAAGTTCAACACTTCTGGCACGCGCTGTTTCCGCTTCCAGAAGGCACACCTTTGAGAGTCTATTTTTTACCTTCGATGTGACATCTCGCCCGACTGTTCACAGCTTTGTTCGCTTTAATAGCTTTCTCCAGGTCTCCCATCGCTGTTGGGTCCCATCAGCAGCAACGGCCAGTAAAAAAAAACGACAAACGTTAAGTCAGTCACGTGTTCGCGTTGGTTGATTGTCTCGGGATTAATTGCTGTGCTGTGGACGGAATACGCAACGTGCAATTGGAGGACTGCGAGTTAGACAATCGGGGGTGACAGAGGTGGCAGGGTGGCTCAGGTCAGAGCTGAGTCAGCAGTGCTGAGTGTGAATTCTTGGGCGGTGTCCGAGTTTCAGTCACCTGGAATTAAACAGCGTCCTAAAGAATATTGAGTTGATGGTCTCATTCGAAAATGCAAGAAAATATTTGTTCACAATCACATTTTGATTTGTGTGTATTTTTCAATAGTTGGGGATCGGTAGTGTAGCGGTTAATACTCTGCGCTATGAACCCGGCGACCTGGGTTAGATTATCTGAATCGGTCATGGGCCTCCCCTAGGTCGACTCAGCCTCAAATGAGTACCTGGTGGGGTTTGTAAACATCACCATTGGGGAGACAAAGGCAGCCGGACGTGGTGTTGCCACCCACCCCGTCGCGTGCCATGCCTGTCTTCAAAGGAGTTCGCTAACAGCACTTGTCTCAACAGTCTGTTCAGGCGATATGGGGGATCTTTGTTTTTTGAATACTCTGTGCCAACTACATTACCAGTAACTGTACACTTATTCATTGGTAATACCTCGATTAAACTGGATCATTTTACATCGGAGTGTCCAAATGCACCATTTAAACACAGAGCTCTAACATGACAAACAGATTATATATGCTTCTCGCAATGGGCTCCCGTCTGGTTTTATAGAAAAAAAAACCTTTGACTGATTTCACTCCAGGGTGCACATTAATTTATGCATTCTCAATCTGGTCCAACACAGGCTGAATTCTCATTACAGCTCAGATGCATGTAAAGTTTCACAGCTCGTGGATGGGGTGAACATACACACAAACACACGCGATCATACATTGAATAACACGACGGGTTCTCCGGTTGCCGTATGAACACAGAGCAATGAACGGAAGATTATTCACGAATCTCCTCCACCGCTGTTCAGCGTATTTCCCCCAGTATAATATATAATATTCACAACGGTAACTACTCTGTAATGTGCACCATTTTCTTGCTCGCTCTCGAAGACTGCGAATGACTCGGAAGCGCCAGGAACCACAAACAAGTGGAAGGGCAGTCAGGCGGTGAGCCGGCACCAAGAGTCTCCCATATATACACACTATAACGCCTCTTAACAGCGGTTATTGGTTCCACGAAACCGGTCGTTAAGTGACTTGGTCATTAAGCGAGTACGGGAAATACACGTTAAAGGCTTAATTCGTTCCTATAGCATCGAAAGTTACCCCTTTTTCACCCAAAAACATAATTAATAATATTGAAAGAATTGATATGAATACATAAAGATAATAAAAGGATTAAAATCACATAATATTAAAATAAACATGGTTAATCAATGCATTAAGTAATATTTACTGTACCTCCAAAAGCCCGTTGTGAACAGGGGAATGGTCGGTAATCGAAAATATTGAGCAATATGGAGGCACTACACTACTATACACTACACTATACACGACACTACTAAACACTACACTACTATACACTACATTACTAAACACTACACTACTATACACTACACTACTATACACTACACTATACACGACACTACTAAACACTACACTACTATACACTACACTACTAAACACTACACTACTATACACTACACTACTATACACTACACTATACACGACACTACTAAACACTACACTACTATACACTACATTACTAAACACTACACTACTATACACTACACTACTATACACTACACTATACACGACACTACTAAACACTACACTACTATACACTACACTACTAAACACTACACTACTATACACTACACTACTATACACTACACTATACACGACACTACTAAACACTACACTACTATACACTACACTACCATACACTACACTACTATACACTACACTACACGACTATACACTACACTATACACTACTAAACACTACACTACTATACACTACACTACTATACACTACACTATACACTACACTACTAAACAAACACTACACTACTATACACTACACTATACATTACACTACTAAACAAACACTACACTACTATACACTACACTATACACTACACTACTAAACGCTACACTATACTATACACTACACTACTATACACTACACTACTATACACTACACTAATATACACTACACTACTAAACAAACACTACACTACTATACACTACACTACTAAACAAACACTACACTACTATACACTACACTATACACTACACTACTATACACTACACTATACACTACTAAACAAACACTACACTACTATACACTACACTACTATACACTACGCTACTATACACTACTAAATACTACACTATACACTACACTATATACACTACACTACTAAACACTACACTACTAAACACTACACATTGGGCTCTATGGAGGGTCATTGTTAAGCGATTAGTCGTTAAACAGGGGTGGTCGTTAAGAGGGCTTCTACTGTATATACATGAGGATGTTTTCAGTCACTTAATGAGTGTGTACACATTGCGCGAGGAAAACGGATGCTGAAATATCTGTCCAGATTATTTCGTGGATCATCCACGTACAAGGTGGACAGGTGCTGGTGCAGTGGTTAGTACACTGCACTATGAACCTGGGAAACTGAGTTGGATTCCCAGTAATGGCCTATATCAATGGTGAGTGATATCTGAACTGGTCCAGGGCAACCCTTTGCGAGCCTGCACTCACTGAGCTGTATAACTCTTTTTCAGAAGCAACCTGATCACAAATGATAGCTCAACGAAGTGGGCTATCATGTGGATTTTTTTTTTTACAGCAGCCAAATACTCGAAACGCACGTTGATTCTAAATGTGTAGGGAAAAACCGGAGGACCCAGAGAAAAATCCACGTGACCACCGGGAGAACAACTCCAAATATACAGGCGTCACCGTAAGGGAGCTTACAGCTTGCTCTGTGATATCTGCTTCCCTCGGTCAATGTTGCGAGAGACCACAATGGATACTTGGCATCGTGGCATGATGCCGTTACCACGATCGGTTGTAAAATGGAGAAAACAAAAAAAATGAACGGCCGCGTAAAAACAAAAATGCAACCATATGCGAGCCAGCAAACCCCCCACCTGCGAATGTGATGAGCGTGGACTCGTGGTCTGTGCCAGCCTCGGCAGTCGCGCTGCAGGTGTAGAGCCCGGCGTCGTTCACGCCCGGGTTCAGGATCTTGAGAGACTTGTCTGGCAGCAGGAGCACTCTACGAGATGGAGGGCGCACGTCACGAGAGATATGCATCGGCACTGCTCGCTAGGGCTCAAAGCCTCGGTAGAACACAAATTGCTCTCAAAGAACGACATGGGAGTGGTAGGTGGCGGCGGTGCCGGCCAATCTGCTGTCAAAGGAGAGAAATAAAAAAGAAGAACGCCTTATGAAACGCGTAAGAATTGCACATCAATTAGACGCGGGTTTATTGAATGCGCATGAGTGTAGGGGCACATTCAATAGTACACCATATGCGCAGTGTCTAATACGTGCTGTATATTTAATGTCAACCCAACTGCCGGATGAGGGCCTCCCCATGCTGCACAGGCCGTGGCGGTTATTTGACCAAACTTCACCACGCGGGTTAGTGTGGGTTAGTGAAGGCAGGATGCATAGACACGGGAGCATATAAGTACGGTACAACAATACATTTTACTGAATATCTGATATGTTCATTAAGTATACCTGACGTGGATAAGGTGTGCGTCCAGCCAGCTGATGCTACAGCGGAGTGCTCGCCTTATTTTTGAAATTCGAATGTTGACTGATCATCCGTCCAGGATTGATAAGATGGGTAACAATTTCGGAGAAGTCTACAGTGGAAATCCAATGAACATACTCCACTCGTCCTAACCATAGGAATGTGACATTTACAGAATTCTTGCACTGGCTCAGGGCTGCCAACCGAAATTATTTACTGATCCACTGTGAGCTTCAGCACCTTGAATTATTGTGTAATAATCATAACACTATTGTGAATTTATATCACGTCCGAGTGCAACACACTTCCCAAGATGCTGTATATGACAAGCGTACAACCATAAACAAACAGCACGCTCAGACAAAGGAAGTATCAAATAAGCGTACAACCATAAACAAACAGCACGTCAAAACAAACACATGGGCAGATTTGGCAACGGCGTTGCCCACACCTTGTACCGGTCACCGTTAGTCTCATGCAGATGAGGGCGTCACGGTGGCGAGATGTTAATTACCTCGCCTGGTATACAGTAGGTTGAAAAAGAGCTATATAGCTCAGTGGGCCTTACCTCATAAAATATAAATAGTTTAGTTTAGTGATGGACTGTGCCGTTGAGCGTAGGAAGTGAGGCAACGGCACGTCTAATTTGTCCAAAATGGGGCTAGAACAACACGTATCGGATATGGTCCTCATCAGCCAGGATCTGTCTCACTGCCGCATGAGACTCCCCCCCCCCAACCCAAAGCAGTCACCATCTCTGCAATGCGACGACCAGCCTGGCCGGTGCCTGTACACGGCCCGCTCTCATCGCTCCCCGCATGCAGCAGCTGAAATTTCGTTTTAACGCTAACAAAAGAGAAAGGCTCATGGGTAGAGTTTTAGAACCCACGTGTTTTCGGGAAACTCGTATGCTCCAGTTTGTCGGCGATAATGAAGTTCATTGGTTGCGATGTGGCCGGCACGTCGGACTGACTCGCCCTGCATGGCGCAGCGATGAATATAAATGTTGATAAAAAAAGAACGTCCATGAGACTTAAAACATACATTAAAAGTACTTAATACAATTTATACCATGAGGCCGATTAGAGTAAGTTACAATCAGACACACGCAAACGCAAAAAAACGCCATTTTTTTCAAAATTTTCTTGCTGTGGTTTTCACACCTGATGATGATTGCTTGTGTCGCAATCGAAACGTCGTGGGAATTTTATTGTTTTATTTTTATTATTTTATGATTTCCCTTTTACGTGACTTTACCGAAAGAACCAAGAATATGAATCCCTGCAGTCACGAAAGCTTTAAATCTAAATTTAGCATATTTATCTCCTCGATGAATGTGGAGACATTTACAATGTTAAAACGTTGGTGGCCGGACACAGGTTCACTTAATCGCCATGCATACAACACTTTCCCCTCTCTCGCACACTCCTAACCGAAAACGAACCACCTCTCGCAATACAGAGCAGGACGAGGTAGAGTAAATTAATTCACTCGGTGAAGGCAGCGCGTGGCATTTAAATATAGCAAGCTGGTATTAAAAATATACACCGCAGAATGAATAGCATTTTTAAAAGAAGGTTGGGTGTTTTTAATACGGTTTTTTTTCCCTTTTGGATCAGATAGCAGCTTATGCCGTCAAACAGCGCCTTCGTCGACACAGAGTGAGCATTGTTCTTGCGCCGGGCACGAGCGTGCGAGCCACATGACTCGCATGAGTCTTTGCCGAGGCTCGGAATCGCCTCCGTGCCGAACCGCCGAGCAGCTATCAAAGCAATCGCCCTCGCCAAGTCACACACACACACACGCGTGCGCGCGGACAGAGAAAGTGTGCCAGACCCTAGCAGCATTGCCGTTCCTCCGATGCCGCCGGCTTGAACCGCAATTGCTCAGTGGATGACAGAAGGCGTCGTCAATTACCAAGGCGGAGATGGCAAACCTCCTTCAGCCTTGGAGACCACCCGCAGGAGGAGCGGTGGCATAACGGTTTAATTTCGCTGCGCGATGGAGCTGGCGACCTGAGTTCAAGTCTCAGCCGTAGGTGGCAAGTGATATCTGAGCCAGTCCTGGGCCCCTCCGTCAGGAATGTGCACTGACCAGCGTGGTGAAGTATGGTAAAGACAACCCCTATGACTCGTACAGAGTGCGCAGGCCTTTACCCAGCAGTGAATAGGCAAAGGGCCGTAAATTATAATGGTTATTAATTGTAATAACTAATTTTAGACCGATTAAGGTGGGCTTGGAACTCATGATTATAAAACAGATAGAATTGTTTTATAATCATGAAAAAATAAAGAAATTTGATAATTTTTTGTGTTTTAATACACAGTGGCACCTGGTTAGATTATTTATTCATTGAATATGTGAATCAATCGAAATTTTTACATCATCTGGACAAGGTACACAATCCAATTCTGTGACATTTTTGGGATTTGTATAATCCTTAACCAGATAAATATCTTAATATGAAACATCATCCGAGAGCTGCGAAGTGATAAAAAAAAAAATTACCTGGAACACATTCTTAATGACGTCTTAACGTAACACAGCTGCCATCCTGCTGAAACATTATTACGAGCCTAGAGAAGCAGTGCACGGACGGAGGAAATAAAGTAACAACGCCGGGGAGCTCACGTACCTCCTGCTGGTGGCCACGGGGGTCCCGTCCCTGCTCCACGCGACGTGCGTCTTCACGAAAGGCCCCTCCACGGGGCACAGCAGCGCGAGGCTGCGCGTGCCGAGCCCCACCACGGCAAGGCCGCCCACGTGCACCGTCACGTCCTTGCTCAGCTCCGTGAGCGCCGAGCGTGCCTGCCGCCGGATGATGCGCGCCGACCCGCCGCGCTTGCCCTCGTGGGCGCCGGGTGGGCGGCGGCCGGGCTGCTGCCTCGACCCCGCCGGCGCCGGCCTGAGCGACGGCCACGACGAGGGAGGCCTGGCCACGTGGCCCGACGGCTTGGCCTTCCGTGCATGCGCGTTCTCCTTCAGCCCCTCCTGCGGCTCCGAGTCGAGGCTCTTGTCCTCGGAGCGCATGCTCGACTCGTTCTCGTCCGCGTCCGCCCACTGCTTCTGCTTTGCCCGCGGCTCGGCGGCCAACTGGGCGATAATCTGCGCGGCATGCACGTCGCTCAGTTCCGGCAGCTCGAAGTGCTGCGTCAGGTTGCGCATGATCTGCTGCAGCTTTTCCTGATCGGTGACGTAGGCCCAGGGCACGGAGGGCTCTCTGCCCAGGTGGAGCTCCTCCTCCTCAGAGGAGGAGAGGTTAGAGTCCCTCTCGAGGGATTCGCGCGAGTCACGGCTCTCCATCCTCTCGCGAGTCAGGAGCTTGCTCTCCAGCAACAGGGACACGATGTGCTGCCGGCTCTTCTCCACGTCGCGCTTGTCCCCTCCTTTCTGCGGCTGCTTGCCGAGCGCGCCGCCCTCAGGTCCCGTGGCCTCGTTGAGCTTTGCCTTCCCGTCGCCGTTGCGCTCCTTGTGCCCGGGCGCCTCCAGGACGCGGCTGTTCTCGCCGATGAGCTTGATGGTGAAGCTCTCGCGCGCCTGCCCGGCCACGCACGTGTACACGCCGATGTCGTCGGGCTGCAGGCAGCGGATTTTGAGGCAGCCCCAGCGCGTGACGCTGTGGCGGTCGGACTCGGCGAGGGAGCGACCGTCCTTCTCCCAGCGGACGCGCGAGTGCTGGAACCGCGCCACGGGGCACTTGAGCACTACCATGCTCTTGGGGAAGAGGTATGCCGTGCCCCCCACGGGAAACGCCAGCAGGTTCTCCCAGGGCGATGGGATGTAGATCCGACGCACCCCCAGGATCTGCGGCCCCCCGTTTGCGGACGATCCGCCTTTCCAAATGGGTTTGGTCTTGCCATCCTTCAGGTTCATCTCTGCGGGAGGGACGTGACACATGACGGCATTGTGATGGCGTGGTTAAACTGCCCGAATCAAAGTCGGAATAGGCAAGGTCTCCAAATGTCAGTTTGCATCGATTCAGTCCATCGTCTTTGCAGGGTTGATCAAGCAAGGAACACTTTGCGAGACATGGAGTAGTGGTTGTCCGATACGGAGACTGGCCTTTCCCAAAATAATTGGCTCAGGTTCACCAAAGCTCTCTTCCATTAAATGATGACCTCTCAACCTGCCCTTATAATTACAGGTGCCCCTGTACATTCTGTACTGTGTGTTAATAAAACAACTCTCTTAATGCACATACTATTTTAAGGAAAACAAGAATGTATACTCTTTGGTTCTTTCGGTAAAGTCACGTAGGTATGAAATAAAATAAAATAAATCACGACGTTTCGGGCGCAACACAAGCGTCCGTCATCAGGTGGGACAACCACAGCAAGAAACAACTGCTGAAGTGGGCGAGAGGGCTGCCGTGACAAGAGGCTATATAGGTAAGAGAAGGGGGAGGAGCAAGGGGGGAGAATGTATACGTCTGATCTACTTTACAAACTATGATTAATCTGTTGACCAACAGGCTGTCAGGGTTGTCATATTGGAGACTCACAGCATGGATGACGCAAACGCATTTCGTTCTCATAAGGGCTTATCAGTGAGCCATGCCAAGATATGAACTGTCACAAACACCATCTGTGTTACAGGAGTAGAAGCAACAAAGAATCTCCATGGTCGCTTAGAAATGCATTGCCTTGTAATATAGTTTTAAAGTCACCCGCATGATACTAGTAGTCCCTTACATTTTAATATATTGCAAGTCCCTTGCACTTTAAGATACTGACAGCCTCCTGTATTGTTGAACAGTCGAAGTTGTTTGTATCCTATGATACCAGCGGACCCGCGCTTTGTGATAACAGCGGCAGAGACTTGTACGAAAGGCAAGGGAAGGTCTCTTTTGTATACATTGCAAAAATAACTGGATGTCCCGAGTGTTGCTGGATGTCCCGAGCTAAGTACGCACTGTTGCAGGGTGGCAGGGTACACGCACGGCTGGCGAGTGGCTTTGGAAGTGACGAGCACTGAGAGGCGTTGGCCACGGACGTGGCCTCTGCTGCTGTGGAGAACTGGCAGCTCACATCCCTGTGCTGTGTGCCAGTGCCACAGCTTCCCAAACACTGCAAGATAAGACACACACAAAGACAAAGATTCCCCCCCCACCCATAAAGCATTGAACAGAATGTTCGAGCACCCACATACGAAGGCCGGCCTGACCTGATGCACGTGGGACGGTGTGGCCAGAACACCCCGGGCTGCCCACCTTTGTCTCCCCCACCCCAGCGAGGATGTTTACACACCACATCAGGTACACGCTTTAAGGCTAAGTGCCAACGTAGTTTCCCTGATGTGTATTTATTTTAAAAGTGAACGTTGCAAAAGTTGCCCGAAGGCCGAAGCAGAAAGTGGGCAGCAACGGACGGTGGTTGTTGAACGTGTAATGGATAAGAACGAACACGTATCTTGAATCGAGTAATGGTTAAATAAAGAAAAACACGGGAAAGAGAAGATTGGGAGGGATTCGTTAAAAAAGGGATGTGGCAAGGGAAGTAGCAGAGAGGCTTTGGTGCGCCCACCCACGGTGTGGTGGTGGGCGGCTTAACTCGGTATCGATGAGAAAAAACGGTAGTAGACTTAAATCTCAGTATGGCCAAAACAAAATCAGGGTTACAGGTGTGAGGGGGTGGCTGAACGTGAGTGAGTGACGGGGTGATTTGTTTACCTTTCTTATAATTTGCACTCCTCTTTGTGTTTTTTTGTATTATTTGTTGTTGTACCGTTCCGACCCACCCTTTACAGGACATCTGTAAAAAAAGAGCTTCATAGCTCATCGGATTCCTCTCGTATAACTATATATCCTGATTATGATTCTGAACCGGTGAGCGACAGATCGCCAATCGCCCCAACTGCTTTACGCCGAATTCCATCAAGCGCAGCAGGGAGGCAAGGAACTACTGCAACGCCATCCCAGATATGCCGATAGTTTTTCAAACAATGGCCAAATGCGTGCGGTGATGACGACGGCGAGCAGTGCGGGGCGCGCGCGCGCGCGTGCTCGAGTACCTGGCCCCACTCGGAGGCCACCCACTCGGCGGGGCACTCGCTCTGGCCGCCGCCGCACGCCTGCTGGGCGAGCGGCCTGCTGTCGGGGCACAGCTGCTCGTCCACGTCCCTCGAGCTGCCGTCGGCCAGCAGCCGGCGGCAGCGCAGGCTCCGGGACTGCACGCCACTGCTGCCGCACGTGCGCGAGCACTGGGGCACGGGCCGCGCACGCGCCAGCGCACGCGGCCAGCAAAAGACAAACACAAACATCCGCCGTGTGCGGCTTAAACAGACAGTTTGGGGGGGGGGGGGGGAATGTGCTATTAGCGCACGAGACAACAGCAAATTGAACTTATATCCTTTGTTTAGTTAACGTATTTATTTTGAGTAATTTAGATACCTTTCTTATGCTTTGCACTCCTATCGTTTTTTTATTGTTTGCTGTTGTAACTTTCTGACCCACCCTGATTGAAAATTTGTGAAAAATTATTTCATAGCTCATCGGATTTCTCCAGGATAAATATTCTGATTCTGAGCAGGTGGGTGGCCAGCACCACGCCTGCCCGCCTTTGTCTCCCATGTTTACACACCGCACCAGGTACTAATTTGAGGCTTAGTCGACCCAGGAGAGGCCCAGGATTGGTTGAGAAATAATCATCACTGGCATTGGATGTTGAACGGGAATCGAACTTGTGTCGCCGGGTTCACAGTGCAGCGGACAAACCCGCTAGACTACCGCTCCCCACAAAGATATTCACGCACACATCATGTTAAAATAGGGTTTATGAATAAAATGATTCATAAGTCTACGAATAATGACATTACCTACAGACTATTGCATGGTCGTCTAAAATTAGATAATATACACATATGAGCATGTTATTTATTTTCCTGCTTTTACAGCTTCCTTGGCCATCAAGGAAATCTTTCGAAACATATTTGACCACGTGTAAACCATTGCACATATTAAAACGATCTTGGTTTTAGATAAAAATGTTTTTTCCTAAAACGAATCCACAAACCTGCTGGAATAAAAACGAAAGAGAGGTGAACTTTAACACTCGGGTCTGGACTCAATGTCTCATATACGGCCACATTTGTTTTCTCTGTGCACTGACGGCAACACTGAAGTGTAAACAATTTCTACCACCGAAAGAAGAACAGCCGCCCATTGCTTCTCACTGCGGTCGTCATAACTGTAACGTCCATGGGACCTTTTTGCCAGTATCAAAAATTATGGAAAAATAAGAAATTAGTTTTACCCTCTATGTTTGCATTTTTTGCCACAAGTATGCGCAGTTAACACAAACTTCAAAACCGTAATAATGCTGAGGTGGGCCATCTGCTTCACAGCAGACGTTAAAGATGCCCTGACGTCATTCGCAAGAGGAGGCCGTTGTGTGCCGGTGTCAGGGTCCACATTTTCCTAACTTAAAACATTACTCCGCAAATTGCTCAACTGGGATTACGCATTGCAATCAGCACGCAAAACTTACAGACTGATGCCCCGGGAGCACTCCTGGGGATGAGACTATCCTGGTTAAACAAAATAAACTTGACTCGAGCCACATCGGCAGAGGTCAGCCCTCTGCAGCAGGCCCTATTGTTAGAATGCTTTATCACTGCGAATTTTATCAGCTTATCATACGGCCAATCTCGGTTATGGTGTGTCTTCAGGAACTGCGTCTGTGCTGGAGACCAGACGACGCTTCACTCATCTGATCAAGTATCGTCTGCTAGAGGAGCCATGCACAGCTGATGACTTAGGCACCGCTTCTGACCGAGCAGGGTGGCCTGTGCCTGAAAATTCCACCAGCATCAGAGGAACAGCAATGAAGCTAGAGTCTGGCCACTTTCCTTGGCCGGGAATCAAACCTCGGTTGCTGGTTTCATAGCGCGATGCGCTAACCAGTGCTCGACTAATGACCGCAGAAAACGAGGATAAACTATTGAGATTTTTTATTTATTTTACCAGGCAAGGCCCACTGAGCTACATAGCTTTTTCAGAAGCGACCTGGCCACAAATGATAGTGAAACGAAGTGGCTTTTCATGTGGAAATTTACAGCAGTCAAATACTCTAAACGCATGATGTTGATTCTAAACCCGGAGGACCCGGAGAAAAAGCCACGCGAACACGGGGAAAGAGACACGCAAACACCAAATATACAACAGGCGTCAGGGTCGGAATAAATCCCGCAACCTTCTGCATACCCGGCGAGGGAATTGACATCCCGCCAACGCGGCGCCGCTTAGACGTTAATGATCACACATTCAAAATAGGGCCTGGCACCCAATGCAAACGCGCCAAGAGGAAGCCTTGCTCGCCAAACGTTGTCGGTTCCCCTAGAAACATGGGGCAGGGCGCGCGCCGCCGTGGTGTGCACGCGGCCGTGGCAACGCCGCAGTGCAGCCGCGTGCCGACGCGGTTGCGAGCGCGGCCGGCGTTGAACGAAAGCGCAGGACTGCGTGCGCGCCGTGGACACACACCGGGGCTCCAGGGGACTTCTCATCGGTGGGAAAAGTGCGGAGGCTCCCCCCCCCCACCACTGACAGTAACTGCCGCCACTTGGGTGTCGGGAGTTTGACCCTGACACAGACGGCATCTGGCACTAATTATGATGATGTCTCTGTGTGTGTGTGAAATAAGTGGCGCTGTCACGTGCATCAAACAGAAGCCGGCATCCGAGTGCTTTCAGCGATCGTCGAAGATTATAATTGGAAATGTTTTTTGTTTGTTTGTTAATTCACTGCATTAAGAAAATAACAACATTCAGTGTGTCTTGGTGATTCGTGCAACAAGGCTAGATTAAGTGATTCACCATGGTAATTTCAGTTCCAGTTTTAAACGTGATACACAGATTGTAAATGTTAGACGACAGTTACATCGAAAATAACCATTTTCGTTCTGGCACATAACTGGTAGTGATATGCATCACGATGCTATTCCTTCAATGACCAAATTACGGATATGTGTTTTTGGGGCCCCTCGACATTCTAGGCCCCCGGCTGTGACCTCTAAAGATCCTGCGTTAATCTGACCATGCCGCGTATCACCATTAGCTGCCCTGAGTCAGCCGGATATATAACTGGTTCCCATAGAGTGGGGGGGGGGGGGGGGGGGCAGCCTCAAGTTCATCACAGTATAGGACTTTTATCAAACAGTGGATCGTGAAAACTATAAATAAATAAAGATGTTCCATTGTTTATATAAACCTCCATTAAGTACAATATTTTTTTGTTTAAAGAACATCTTGCCAAGGAGTTTTTTGAGTGTTTTGATTGTACAGATGAAAATCACCAATTGGAGTATCCAGTATGTTGCAAGCACAATGGTGCTGGAATATCATCACTTGCTGTGCTTCCTCATAATCGCCACTTCTTAGCCCTGCAAGTGGCGTGTCTTGTGCCATCCACTATCTTCTACCTCCAAAGTACTGCATTGCAGCCGTGCACTACCATGCCACGCACAGCACGACACGGATATCATACAACAGATGGACACACTTTATGAAACACATCCGCTATTGCCACATTAACGGCTTTCATAATCTGCGCGCAAGCACAAATAAACGTTTCATTTTCCAGCTCCTCCGTTCAACGTGCCCTCCCACAGCGAGCCGTCGAACCGTGCGCGCACGCCGATCGGAACAGATACCAGTTCCCATGAAACGTAACATCTGGCGCAGACTCGTGCATCATGACTGGCAGCTTCGTAGTGTCGACTGAAGGGGCATTAACCCCCGGCCCCAGGGGGCAGGAAACACCTGGGCCCGCCCAGCTTCACAGCCCGCCCCATACCCCCCCTACGCACATCCCCACGGCGCGCGCGGTTTACTCTCTCAAGCGGAATGACCACGCGGAATGACCACGCGAAATAAAGGGCACGCGCCACGCCTCTCGCTCGCGCTCGCTTAGGGAAAGGCTTTGCATTAGAGGGGAGCCCCACGCGAATTTGTGTCAATGTCCGCCACGGCCGAAGTATTTGCTTGCTACTTTGCTCGGGGGGGGGGGGGGCGGGGGGGTTGGTACAAAAAGCAAAAAACGGATTTGCTCCCGCTCGCAAAATGACAAAGATGAATTATCTCTCGTTGACAGCCTTGTCGACTGCAACGGCAAATTCAGTTAGCGAGCAACACGTGGGGGTCCGGCGCGAGGGGGCTCACGTGGCCAGCCTTTGCCTCTCCACTGCCGAGGTTGAGATACTTCATCACGTCACTCGTTTAGGGGTGACGTGACCCAGGGGATATTCAGGACAGGTTCCGATGCAAGCTGCCCACCGGTGTTATCCGTGGCTGAGGACTGAACCGAGTCTCCTGTGGATTGCAGCAGAGGTTTGAACCGATGTGTATTGCACTTATTTTATTGCCATGTGAAGCAATTGACGTTAGTGTATGTGACCTTTCTAATAACTAGCTGCTCACACAGCCTAGTAATTAAATATAGCAAAAATGAACACATGAATTCATATGCTTGACACATCAAACACTTAAAAATGTTGCAAATCAATCCCGCTTCGAAATGGTCAACATCTTGTTGCGTGGTAGTTAATTCGCTATCCAATGTGCGGATAGGCACATTAGCAACGATATTAATGCCAATCTTGATTTGAAGCTTTCGTGACTGCAGGAATCCATACGCTTTGGTTCTTTCGGTAAAGGCACGTAGGTTGGAAAAAATAGATCACGACGTTTCGAGCGCAACACAAGCAATCGTCATCAGGTGAGACAAACACAGCAGGAGAACTGCTGAGCCTCACCTGATGACGATTGCTTGTGTTGCGATCGAAACGTCGTGATCAATTGTTTTTCTATCTACGTGACTTTACCAAAGGGATATTAATGCCACTCAAAAAAACGCGAGCATTTTGAAATTGTGAACGAAATTCACGTGCAAAAAAAAAAACAGTAATAAAGCACCGTGAAACAAATAAAAACAAACACCGGGGCCAGTTTCACAAAAACAAGATTTCAAGCCAATTTCCTAAGAGCAACGAAGTACAACACATTCTTTCATAGCCGCAGGTTACAGAACACCTTTGGGGAAAACTTAGAGAAGAAGAAAAAAGAGTGCGTAGAAAAAAACACAACAAAGCCACCTTGTTGTGTTTATACCAAGCCCCTTACATTTGTGGAGTGTAACATATACGCAGCAGGGCTAAATTAAGGAAACAAGGGGCCCTGGTTACTTGGTATATCTAGCTGGGTGGCGATGTGGCCGCATGCTGGTCAGGATTTAGACTCAGTCCATTATAGAAGTTAAATATGTACTACTTTGTAGTCCTCTGGAGACACTGGCATCATCCACAGGAATGGTGGAACTTTTACCTGTGGCTCTAGGCAACCAATGGAGATGACCACATCATGTGAACACCGAGACACTTTCACTTTTCTGACGTTAAGCAATCACAGTCCCAACGCGTCCCTTAAAGAACGATACAAGCGGGACGTAGAGTTGGGAAGGGGCTAGAAGTATGTGCAAATGCATTGCCATTACGATACTGACAACGAACGAAAACCGCAACTTATAATGTTCCAGGGGAGCTAACTCCAAACAACATAGAACCCCCGGTCGCGCAGACAAGCGGGCGCGACGCGTCGCCGCGTCACTCACGGGCTGCCAGTCGCGAGCGTGCCAAGCCGGCGGGCAGTCGCTGCGCGCACACGGCTCCACGTCCGGCGGTCGCGGCCCGGTGCAGTCGGTGGCTCGCTGGCGCTCCTCCGAGCCGTCGGCCTCGCGGGCCACGGTGCGAGCGCAGCCCACGCTCCGCGCGCGCAGCCCGGCGCCGCAGCTCGCCGAGCACGCGCCCCACTCGCTCGTCTCCCACCTGCGGAGAAGGGGAGATGCGCCAAGGGGGGGGGGGGGGGGGGGCGGGTTAGGTCACGGAGCGAACGCGAGAGAAACACGCGCGAAGCGGTGGCGCGGCAAGGTTGAAAAGTTTCCGCGACACGTCGTTGCGGTTGCTTTGCTTGCGCGCGCCCGCGGCTCTCCGATGGGTTTTCGGGTCGTGCCGCGTTGTTCTGTCGGCTTGATGTTTGATGGTGCAAAGTTTGCCTCGCCAGCACGTGGAGTGGAACGTCAGACAGCGTGCTGGGCAAAAACGCTGTGGTGCAACCCAAAAAGACCTATGCAGGACACGACTTGAACTGAAGAAGTTCCTGCAGAAGCTGCCAGCACGAGGAGTGAAACAGTGTGGACATCAAACAGGACGACCAACACTTGCTACAACCTGACATCCCATTTCTAAAGCAGCGGCGTAACTGATGTGTCTGTTGGTGGTGTGACTGCACCAGGGCCCACAGGCCACAGCAGTCCAGGCACTGGGCTTTGCAGGGACATGGGGGGGGGGGAAATTAGACAGGGGGGCCGAAATAATTATTTGGACCAGGGCAATGCCAACCTTGCTATGTTACTGAAATCAATTCCAGCAAAATGAGAATTTCTTCATTGGGGCGGTGTGCTCATATCTCTTGAGCCAGCGGCGGAATTTCCACGTTCTCTTTGTGGAGTTTAGTCTTTCCCCAGGATAATCACTGCTAATTTGCAACAAATTTGAGGGATGATGCAGGCGCAGCATAATCAGTACACAATCTACAGGTGTTAACACCGATATATGAACGTTTGTAATGCTACTGACAATTCCCACCATCCCTCTGGCACGAATAAGGTGAGAACAACTGAATCGGCCATCGACAGTGATCGTCCACTTTTGAGAACCAATGGCCCCACCATAGAAATGTGGAATTTACACCACTGGAGCAGGGCCAACAATAGAGATGTCCAATGCTCATGCGAGCAAAGAGGTATTTTGACCACCCAATATAAGAATTAATTGGAAATAAACACAGCATACAATAATTCAATGAATACTGTGCAATAGGTTAGTCATCGTAAAGAAAGTTGGCTAAGCCAAATCAATATCCTGCAATAAATGAAAAAAAACCCTAATCTTTATATCTTGTATCAATGAATCCATATGCACATGTATACATGAATACACAAACATGTTAATGTTCAATATAATTTCATATCATATGACACTAGCAACCGCTAATGCACAATATATCCTGCGGATGCATTTTACGGATTAAGTACATTTCTTCAACTTCAAGAATCTACCGACGTATGAACGTTGAACTTTTTTAGCACCGTATGTATCCAACCGTGCTCGCGTTGCGCGTTGTTATGGTCGTTATTTGTAAGTCTGCCCCATCACAGTTTAATGGCCCTGCAGGAGACATCACTTCAGCAAGGGGCCAACCAAAACAAGCTGGAAATGATCAGCAGCGTTTAGAGGTAAAGTGTAGCCACTGACAAATGGCGCTGTCTTATGTTTGCAAAAGAAAAACACGTGTGAGAAAGCGGATACTTCTTAGGAGGGGAGAAAAAGTCCGTTGTACTAATTCCTTCCCATTGTCAGTGTTAATGCTGATTGGTGTGAGTCCAGGAAGGCTGCGTGGAGACCGATGACACGGTTGACTGTGACAAGAAAAAAAGCATTCGGCAGATGGACGCACTGCACTTTGTCAGCGAGCAATCCTCGCTACCGTGACAGCGCGTCCGAGCTACTTGCCAACGCGACAGGAGCGCACAATTACTGTTGGAAAGGCCAAGAGTGTGTAGTCAAGCACGCTTCAAGTGCGACGTGCGCAGACAGCACGAGCCAATCCCCCAACCCCCCTTCCATTCCTTAATATTGCTGTGCAACACTGCACCGAACTGTAGGCAAGACCTTGGAGTTTAACTCCGGTGCGGTGGCGGCCCATGCTTAGTAGCATAGTGCTAGTGCTTCGCAGCCAGGCCTGGTTGATTACGAAGGCAAAGATAGCCATGCACGAGCTGCCAAACTATCAGAGCTGTACGGTGGCCACCAGATGGTAGAACGGCCTCTGGGTTCATGACCTGTTTGAGTGAATTTATGTGGTTTCTTGTCTGTGCAGGCTTTCTCTTGAAGCTCCAGATTCTAACAAAGATGATAACCGTATCGCGCGCTTTCAGATTCGCTTCTGTGGCCGTCTGGAATGCTCTTCCGTCCGATGTTAGGAAGCCACTGGAGCTAGGCACTTTTACATCTAGACCAGTGGTTCTTAACCTGGGTTCGATCGAACCCCAGGGGTTCGGTGAGTCGATCTCAGGGGTTCGGCAGAGCCCCCGCCACGGAGGTCCGGACACACTTGAATTATTGTGTAAATTTGTGATGACACACACGGCCCACTTGGCCATCACTGGCTGCAGATGATCATGCTACACTGCTTGGCCAATCAGCGCTGCGGGGAATTTAGTGCGTACTCAGTAGTCAACGTGTGACTGTTGTTGTCGTACGTCGTGTGATTTCTTTAATATTTTATCCATACTAACTATGTCGGGCAAAAGAAGAAAGTGGTCGGACGAACATGTACAACATGGATTCTCATGTATCACGGAACGTGATGGGAGTGAGCGTCCTATCTGCATGATTTGCAACGCCAAGTTGAGCAACTCTAGTCTTGCACCGGCAAAACTAAAGGAACACTTCTTGAAGCTGCATGGAGACGGGGAATACAAGAACACAACACTTGCTGAATTCAGGGTGAAGAGAGCCAGATTCGATGAAAAGGCCACTCTGCCTGCTCTTGGATTTGTACCTGTTAACAAACCGATCCTGACAGCATCGTACGAAGTTGCTTACCTGATCGCAAAGCAGGGCAAGCCACACACCATTGGTGAACCACTTGTGAAACCAGCTGCATTAAAGATGGCGAATCTGATACTCGGAACAGCGGCCCGAAGGTAAATTATCCCAAATTCCCCTTTCAAATGACACCGTCAGTGACAGAATAGAAGACTTGAGTAAAGACATCTTGGCTCAAGTAGTCGCGGATCTGATTTCAAGCCCGGCAAAATTCAGCCTTCAACTCGACGAAACCACAGACGTTTCTGATCTAAGCCAGCTTGCTGTTTTTGTACGCTATGTGAAAGACGACATGATAAAAGAAGAGTTTTTATTTTGTAAGCCTCTTACAACAACAACGAAGGCAGCCGATGTGAAGAAGCTTGTGGATGACTTCTTCAGAGACAACAATCTTTCATGGGATATGGTTTCTGCAGTTTGTACGGACGGAGCTCCAGTCATGCTGGGAAGAAAGTCTGGTTTTGGTGCGCTAGTAAAGGCCGATGCACCACACATCATTGTGACGCATTGTATTCTGCACAGGCATGCGTTGGCAACAAAAACCTTACCTCCAAAAATGGCAGAAGTATTAAAAACTGTGGTGGAATGTGTGAACTATGTGCGAAAAAGTGCTCTGAGGCACCGCATCTTCAGTGAGCTGTGTAAAGAAATGGGCTCTGAATTTGAGGTACTTCTGCTCCATTCTAATATTCGGTGGTTATCCCGGGGACAGGTGCTGAATCGTGTTTTTGCCATGCGTGTGGAATTAGCCCTGTTTTTGCAAGAGCACCAACACTGCCATGCAGATTGCTTCAAAAATCCTGAGTTCATTCTCATTTTAGCGTACATGGCTGATATATTCGCAGCTCTCAATCATCTCAATCAGCAGATGCAGGGTGGTGGAGTCAATATCATGGAAGCGGAAGAACACCTGAAGGCTTTTCAAAAAAAGCTACCGTTATGGAAACGACGAACAGAGAACAATAACTTCGCAAACTTCCCGCTTCTGGACGACTGTGCAAGTAAGATCGAAGATGTGTCTGGAATCGGAGATATTTCTGTATCCACGGAACTGAAGCAAACAATTGCCACGCACTTAGATGAGCTTGCAAAGTCTCTCGACGGATATTTCCCTACAAGAGAGTCATATCCAGCATGGGTGAGACAGCCGTTCACGTTTGCTGTTGAAACAGCAGATGTCAATGATGAATTCCTCGACGAAATCATTGAAATTCAGCAGAGCCAGGTTCAACAGCAACTCTTCAGAACAACAACGCTCTCAACGTTTTGGTGTCGACAAATGAACAAGTATCCAGTTATTGCTAAGAAAGCCCTGGATTTTTTTATACCATTTGTTACAACATATCTTTGTGAGCAATCCTTTTCGAGGATGCTGGACATAAAAACGAAGAAAAGGAACAGACTTTGCTGTGAAAATGACATGAGAGTGGCACTTGCCAAGGTGAAGCCACGCATATCTGAACTGATCTCTCAAAGGCAACAGCAGAAGTCACATTGATTTCCAGGTATGTAATTTGTTGTGAGTTTATGCATTGTGTTGGTTTTATTCTTTGAACAAGGTAATGTTCATGCACGGCTCATTTTGTGTACCAGTAAAAAACATATCTATGTCTTGAATTTGAAAAAAATCACATTTTATTTTTCACTAAAGAGGGGTTCGGTGAATGCGCATATGAAACTGGTGGGGTTCGGTACCTCCAACAAGGTTAAGAACCACTGATCTAGACTGAACACTCATTTCTTGAGAACTGGTGTATTTGTTTAGTCTGTTGCAAAATAAGTTCAAAATACATATATACAGATTCCCCAAGAAAATAACAGTAATAATTGGCTCAATATCCTGGGACAAGACCCTCTTGAAAGAGTAAAAAAATTCAGTGAAGCTAATACAGGGCTATTATTAAAATAATATTCAGTAAAACTTATGTATACTATAATACAGTGAGGGAAAAAAAGTATTTGATCCCCTGCTGATTTTGTACGTTTGCCCACTGACAAAGAAATTATCAGTCTATAATTTTAATGGTAGGTTTATTTGAACAGTGAGAGACAGAATAACAACAAAAAAATCCAGAAAAAACACATGTCAAAAATGTGATAAATTGATTTGCATTTTAATGAGGGAAATAAGTATTTGACCCCCTCTCAATCAAAAA